CTTCGGAAAGACACTTAACATCTTGGGTACTTAGATTTCTTATATGCAAAAAAAGAGATAATAATACTCAGCAATCCAGGATCTGTATGGGCACTAAATGAGGTTGTGATTGTTGTAAGGATAGTCTACTCAGATACCTTCTGTGACTCCACTAAATATGGAGATCTACAAAGAATACTGTCTCTGTTCTTAAATGTATTATCAAAAACTGTGATACTGAATAGGTGCTTCACAAACTGGCTGTATCACCCACTCCTGGTACAAAAGTGTGGAAATGCTTGCAAAGGGCACCAAATGTAAATGACTGGAAAGCATGCAAACCAGACCCTCATTGCCTGTGTCCTGAGGGAATACCTTTCAGATATATGTACTATTTCAGTTCAGAGAGTTGTCTAATCTAAAGTCCCCCCATATAGACACTCAATAAAAGAATATTATAGTTGTGAGAGGTGTATTCATAGAGTTTGCTCTTTTTGAGTAGATATGACAGGCTAAGGGGGTTATAGAAGAAAGAGTCCTATTAAATTTAGAATAGGAAACTTCACACAGACCCTGTTTGCCTATTGCATATGTAATAGAAGTACCAGAGATGTAGAGTATGTCCTGGGAATGGGTAACACGGAGCTCCTCCTGTGTTAGGAGTTCCAGGAAGAAATTTTATTGAAACCTCATAGTCTCTCAAAGCATTTTAAATATTTCTGTGATCATGTTCTGGGATGTTCCCTGGCAGTAGGTCAGAGTTCACTTCTCAGCGTTCTTTCTCATCCCAAGTCTGTATGAAGACAATTTAATTAAGCACTTTGAACATTCAAGGCTTTGAAGCAGAGACACACTCTAGACACAGCGGTCAGCGTAAGCCCCTCCGTTCCCCATACCCTGCCCTGCAGACAATGGATTCCCACAGCCACAGTAGTTTCCCAGGGCTCCAGGGCCCTCCAGGATGAACTGAGCTCCTCTCAGAATGCCCAAATACCTGACCCTGACCATGCTGGGCACCGGGTATTAATAACCATCAGTGCCTTTTGGGGCATACACACACACAAAGAAAGAACCTCTCCGCTCCTCTTACTACCACCATTGCTGTGGTCTGGGAAACTTCTGTCAATGCCAGGGACAGGATACAGTCACCTTTGGGTCAGATGTTTTTAAAGATTTTATTTCTTTATTTATTTAAGAGGTAGAGTTACAGATAGTGAGAGGAAGAGATAGAGAGAAAGGTCTTCCCTTCGTTGGTTCACTCCCCAAATGGCCACAATGGCCGGAGCTGCACCAATCCGAAGACAGGTCTAGGAGATTCTTCCCAGTCTCCCATGTAGACGCAGGGGCCCAAGCACTTAGGCCATCTTCTACTGCTTTCCCAGGCCATACCAGAGCTGGATGGAAGAGGAGCAGCCGGAACTAGAACCGGCACCCATATGGGATGCTGGTGCTGCAGGCAGAGGATTAACCTGCAGCCTCTGGGTCAGATCTTAAACGTTCTGCCCCTGCACCTCTGGAAAGTCTCTGTTCTTACTGGGAGTCTATGCAATCTCCCTATTAGATGTTGAGCTCACCAAGACCCCTCCCTCCAATAACTAAGTGAGCAGGACTTTGGGAAATAATCCTTAATGCATTCCCACAGTGATACATTCACGGACAATGAAAGCCACTGTTTGTGTCACTAGCCCTACCCACCTGATGCTTACATATTACAGGGGAAAATTCCCAGTAATTCCAATTACTATAAGAAAACAGTATGGGCCACCTTGGTAGACTGAGTCCTTTCTGGGCAGTTGGGCATTTACAAATGAAGAATTCTTTGTAACATCGCTGCTGGTTACTATCCCTAATACATTTTCATAATCTTTTGAACTAATTATTTTATAGCCAATCTTGTCTTTTCTTTTGAATTTCATCATAGAATCCAAAGCAGGAAATTCAGAGGCTGGCAGAATTTATTGGGAAGAAACTAGATGACAAAGTTCTAGATACAATTGTCCATCACACCTCATTCGATGTCATGAAGCAGAATCCAATGGCAAACTATTCATCACTTCCTACTGAATTTATGAACCACGCCATTTCTCCATTCATGAGAAAAGGTTGCTTATGTTTTCTTTTGGCCTTAACCTTAAAAGAATGATGCAGCACTTCAGAGCCCTTGGGGAGCTGTCTTTCCTATGCCTGGGATTAGAATGGCTGTAATGGAGGACTCTGGGAAAAGATGTATTTAAGAAACCACCGAAGAAATGAAAACAATGTTTACAATCCCCTATCAGCCAGTGAGGTTTGGTATCTGAATACCACCATGTAGCCCCACGTTCCCTCCAGAAATCTAACTCAGATGTGGTGAACAATCTAGTTTATACACGGCTATATGCTATCAGATACAAGTATCCAAAAATACTTACTGAGAGGCTACTATGTGCCAGGCACTGGTGGGTACAGCAAACAAAACACAAAAATTCCTTCCCTCACGGATATCATATTCTATTGACTAGCAAAATAAATGAGAAATGCATGAGATAACAGACAGTGGTAACAAAGGCAACACTGGGATGATAAGTGGGATGGCAAGTGGAGGTCTGGGTGGGAGCAAGTTCTACAACTTCAGACTTGTACCTGGGACCTCCCAGGAAGGGGTCCTTCTGCTCAGCTCATGGCATAGAAGCCATGGTCCCAGCACCCACCGTGCCGTGATGTGCAAGAGGCCAGGAGAGAGACAGAAACCTCCCAGGCCTGCTGTTGCAACAGTGGTGTCCTTCCCCCAGTAATGGGGCTTGGTGGGGAACAGGCTCTTCCTGTCTACAGTTCAGACAAGAGCAAGAGAGGGACAGCATAGCAAGAGCCTTGTTTTGCCCAACACTGTCCCTTCCTAGAAGACAGAGTAGAAATCATCGCACAGAAACAGGAGAGGAGGGAAACACAAACTCCTCCAGCAGCTATTAACGCTCACCCACGTGACTGTGTTTCAGGGACAGTGGGAGACTGGAAGCACCACTTCACTGTGGCCCAGAATGAGAGGTTCAATGAAGACTACAAGAAGAAAATGGCTGACACCAGCCTCGCTTTCCACTTCCAATTCTAGTAAGACAAAAATTAAAAGCTGTTTTACGGGTTGACGCTGTGGTGTAGCGGGTAACGCTGCCATCTGCAATCCCAGCATCCCATACGGGTGCCGGTTCGAGACCCAGCTGCTCTACTTCCAAATTAGCTCTCTGCTATGGGCTGGGAAACAGTGGAAGATGCCACAAGTCCTTGGGCCCCTGTGCTGGCTTGGGAGACCTGGAGAAAACTGCCTGGTTCCTGGCTTCAGAGAGGCTCAGCTACAGCTATTGCGGCCATTTGGGGAAGGAATCAGTGGATGGAAGAGCTCTTTCTCTCTGCCTTGCCTCTGCCTCTGCTTCTGCCTCTCAAATAAATAAATAAATCTCTCTCTTTTTTTGAAGTTGTTTTATTTTATTTCTCAGTGTATTGCATAATAATTAAAGTTTGATACTCAGACTGAGTGATATTGAGTTGAGGTTCTCAGACTGATTGTGCACACTATTAAAAAAAAAAAGTGTAGTTAGCAGGCAATGGGCAAGGTGCAGAGTGAGAGGAGGGTGCAGTGTAGGAGAGAGGTGTTAGTAAAATGGCGCAGTCTTATCTGTGGCACAATCTACACCCCAGACACCATCCTAGGCTCTAGCCCCCCTGCCACCAGTGCTGAAGACAGGTGACACCATGGCCCAACCACAGGTGTCAGCTCCACCCCCACCCTAATGGGATTTGGTGCTCCTACTTCCCTGCCCACCCCCAGCAAAGGTGTAGCAGGACCTCTTCCAGAACACATGTCTTATAAAAGGGATGGCTAACATTTTCTGTAATAAAGCAAAAATAGCTAGAATGAGAGCTGAAATTATGATTCCATGGCTAAATTTACTTCTCCATGGGCACAGTAAACAGGCAAAACCTCCCTTTCAGACCAAACAAAGGGAGAGAAAGCTTTAGAGTGAGGACATGGGTTTCCTCATGGGCATTGCCTGCCTCACAGAAAAACCACTACCAGAACCTGCCGGTGACTGTAGACTTCAAGTTTAGGCCACCAAAGATTAGAGAATGGACTTGAGAACCCCCTTGACTTGCATCCTCTGTCTGCTTTAACAAAAACCAGGAGGAAGAGAAAGCCAGGCATCAGAAGCAATGTAAAGATAGGCGGCAGGCCTATTAAAGGCTGCTCTGCCCAGTGATCTGCCATCAAGGACACCCAACAGCCCAGGCCACTGCAGTGGCTTTCAATGTGGTAAGCCTGGGCTTCAGCAGAAGTCAGCTTGTGAAGAGCCCTGGCAGCTCTACCAGCCAAGAGTTGGGTCGCTGGAAATGGAACTGCCCTGGAGTCCAAAGACTTCAGGTCAGAGCCACAGACCTCACTGGCTCTGAGCTGAAAAGCCCTTCACTCAGCCCGGCTTCCAAAGTAACCACTGCTACTGAGGGGGTGGCCAAGTAGGGTCGGTAACATTGCAGGCAGAACTGTAAATTTCCTGTTAGATTTGACAGCTGCCTTTACCTGGCCAGCTCTCCTCCCAGGCCAGCTAGGTAATGGAAGTCAACAGGGTGCCTTCCACAAGGAGGTGCACATCTCTCTTAGGATATATGCCACGTGAAGAGATGCCTACGCCTGGGACCCTTAACTGGCAAGGCCTTAAAGCCCACCAGACTATTATCAGGCCCCTTCTGTCAGTTTCTATTTACCTCGCAATTGGAGAACTTATTCGTGGTTAGACAGAAGCTTTCTTAGGTCCTCTAATAATGACTCTGTCTTCGTTCTAGATGTCCAGCTCACTTGGGCCTCGTTCCTTTGTGGTCAGAGCCTCTGCTCTAATACCAGTGGCTCCACACCTGACCCGTGTGTATTGATGGTCCACCCCCCCCCCCCCCCGCTTAATGTTGTATGATTCTTCAGATTTTCTCTACAGACAAACCCCTCTACCCACAGGAGACAAGCGGCCTTTCCTCCAGCGTTGGTTAGGATCAGCTTCAAACCACATCCATCAGTCTTCACAAGGGCCCAGAGACCCCCCCCTCATTTGCTCTCCTCTATAACATCCTCTCATTACTTGGTTAATGCCACTCTTAAGGTCATGGGCTGCTATTCTCTTTTTTTTTTTTTAAGGTTTATTTTATTTATTTGAAAGAGTTGCACAGAGAGTGAAGGAGAAGCAGAGAGAGAGAGAGAGAGAGAGGTCTTCCATCCACTGGTCACTCCCAAATTGGCCACAATGGCCAAAGCTGCACCAATCCGAAGACAGGAGCCAGGAGCTGCATCCAGGACTCCCATGCAGGTGCAAGAGCCCAAGGGCTTGGGCCAACTTCTACTGCTTTCCCAGGCCATAGCTGAGAGCTGGATCGGAAGTGGAACAGCCGAGACTCGCACCAGCACCCATATGGGATGCCAGCACTGCAGGCGGCAGCTTAAAACACTACGCCACAGTACCAGCCTACCCTGTCTTTTACACTACTGTGTCTGTTTCAGTGTTCACAGGAGGTGAAAATAGAATGCACCAACACCTTCCCCCACCAGGCGGCCGACCAAATGCTGCTACAGGGACATAATCAGCTCCCCACCCAAGAGACAGCGACTTGAGACACTGCCCCATGCCAGCAGAGATAAAATGTCAGCGGGAAGTAGCTCTAAAGACAGATCATTGTTCCTCTACCACTCCTGGAATTTGGGGGGTAAAGTAATCCCATACAACTCTTGCTTTATAAAACACAAGAGGAGAATGTTAGTAAAATGGCACAGTCTTATCTGTGTGCAATCTACACCCAGAACACCATCCTAGGCTCTTGCCCCCACGCCTCCATTGCCAGAAGCCAGGTGACCCATGGCCCAACCACAGGTGTCAGTTCTACCCCAACCCTAATGGGATGTGCTGCTCCTACTTCCCTGCCCGCCCCCCGGCAAAGGTTTAACAGGACCTGTTCCTGAACACGTGTCTCTCTCTCTCTTGATCTCTCTTACACTCTCCTGATCTCTTACCCTCTCGCCCTCTCCCCTGGACCATCAGGCTTCTGCCACCTGATCATAAACCTTTCCCTAACTCCGGGGTTTGAAGTGTTTGGTGGTAACTTCTCTTTACAAGAGGTTCAGTCAATAACTAGTTAGGATCCTAAAACATTGGACTTTTCAGACTAACTTTTGGCTTACACTCATTTTTAAGTACATGACAGTCTGAGCCCTTTTCCCGCTGCTACAGTAAGATGCCGTGGGAGGGTAAATTATGAAGTGTACACATTTATTTGGCTCATGGTCCTGGAGACGGGGAAGTCCATGACTATGGTGCCAGAACCTGGCAAGGGCCTCATGGTCAAAAGGCAAGAGAGCAAGATTGCAAGAGTGCAAGACTGCAAGAGACCAAGAGTGCAAGAGAGCAAGAGCCCAAGAGAGCACCGAGAGATTAGACAAGGAGGGCAAACACTAACCCCCCCACCATGGTAACCAACCCACTCCTGTGATGCTGGCCTTAACTCATCCATGAGTTGGAGCCCTCAATGGCTCCCATGAAGCACCATCTCCTGATTCTGTTACAATGGCAATTAAGCTCAGCATAAGTTTTGGAGGGGGCAAAATGTCAGACCATAACATTCAATCTCTGGCTCCACAAAACTCACGTCCTTCTCACAGGCAAAATACATTCCTTCCATCCCAATAGCCTGGAAAGTCTTAACTTGTTCCAGCACCAAGGTGAAAGTCTCAGCTAAATCAGATAACAGGTGACCCTCATCCTAAAGCAAATGCCCTACAGCTGCGAGCCGATGCAAGCAAGTCAAGACATTTCCAAAACAGAGCGGTGGGACAGGCATAGGAAAGGCATTCCTATCCCGAAAAGGAGCAGTAGGCAAGGCAAAAGAGATAACTGGTTCCAGCTAAGTCCACAACTCAACAGCAAAACAGCATTAAATCTGAAGGCTGGAGAACAGCCCCCTTGGATTCATGTACGGAATCCGGGCACCAGCACACCTATAGCTTTGTTAGGCTCAGTCCACCCAGCAGCTCGCTCAGCTTGGGCCTCATGCCTGCAGCTCTCCCCAAGACTGGCATCGCACAGTGGTAACTCTATGGCTCTGGTGTCTGGGAGTGGCCCCACTCTTACAGGTCCCTGAAGCATTGCCTTGGCAGAAGCTGGCTGTGGTGGCTCTAGCCCTGAGACAAGTCTCTGTCTGGGCCCCCTGCCTTCCCACAGCATCCTGTGAAATCTAAGTCGAGAGAGCCATGGACCCACAGTTCTTGCTTTCCGCACACCGTGGATGTCACCAAGGCTTATCGATTGTACCTTCCACAGCACAGGCCAAGTCAGAAGTAGGTCTGAACGAGCCAAGACCGGGACAGCCAAGGAACGCTACACCAGAACACAGGAGGCCCATGGAGGGCAGCCAGGTCCCTTCCAGAGATATTCTGCGCTCCTAGATTGCTTAGCCAGTGCTGGGAGGACCAGCCCGAGGGATCTCTGAAATGCCTCTGAGGTCAGTCTCCCATTGCCTTGATTCCCTCCTGTTCACTTGTCTACTTGGTAACTGCCACTTGGCCACATCCCTGCTTTGCTCCCCTGAACACACCTTTTCATGTTTTACGTGGCCAGGCTGCAAAATTTCCAAATCTTCCCATTCTACTGCTCTTTTAATTAAAAATTCCTTCCTAAGTCAGTTCTTCCCACTTGCATCTCACTGTGTGTGGTTCAAAGTAGTCAACTGGTAGACTGAAGGCTTTGTTGCTTAGATAATTCTCTTACCAGATGCCATAGTTCATCAGTTTAGTGCTCTGCATTCCACAAGGTCCAAGGACATGGACAAAATTCTGCCAAGATCTTTGCAACAAGGATGGGCTTTACTTCAATTTCCAATACTTCATTCCTCAGTTCCACCTGAGAGCTCATCAGAATGGCCTATGCTGTCCATGATCGTGGTCACTCATGTAATCCTTAAGGACTTCCAGTCTTTCCCCATAGCTCTTTTCTTCCACTAAGCTGTCACCAGAATGATACTTAATGCAGCAGTGTGGTCACCTAGGCTTGTTCTACTCTGATCTTCCAAATTCTTCCAGTCGCTACCCATTACCCACTCCAAAGTTTCTTCCACATAGAGGGTATTGGTTAAACTAGTGCCACTTCTGGTACCAATTATCTTTTCTATTTTCTTCCAATAGGATACCACCTATTGTAAATTATGAACAATAGGAAAATATTTGGCTCACCATTGTGGAAGTCCAAGAGAACATGCTGGGATCTGATGAGGTCCTTCACGCTCTGTCACCTCGGGGGAGAAGATGCAAGAGCAACACAGTGTGAGAGAAGAAAGAGGCTGGACTCCCCTCTTTGTAATGACCCATCCCACGAGAGTGGTGTTAATCCATTCATGGGGTGGAGCGCTCATAAGTTAAATACCTCCTATCAGGTCTCCTCTCTTAATACCATTTTCTTTGAAAAGGAAAAAGAAAAGAGAGATTGATTTATTTATTTGGAAGGCAGAGTTCCAGACCGAGAGAGAGGTCTTCCATCCATGGGTTCACTCCTCAGATGGTCACAATGGCTGGAGCTGTGCCGATCTGAAGCCAGGAGCCAGAAGCCTCTTCTAGATCTCTTACGTGATTGTAGGGACCCAAGCTCCTGGGCCATCTTCTGTTGCTTTCCGAGGAACATTAGCAGGGAGCTGGATCAGAAGTGGAGCAGCCTAGACTGGAACCAGCTCCCATATGGGATACAGGAGCTGCAGGCAAAAAAGGGCTTTACCCCACTGTGCCACAGAGTCGCCACCTCCCCTTCATTTTTACAGTGATCTACTTTCAGATTACTTTATACTCATAAAATTAACCCTATGCTAAGTAATGAGGGGAACAAATAGGATGAAGAAAACAACACTGTTCCTCAACAGTAGAGACAAGGGCTGTAAACAATCATCGAAGCTCAAAATGTCAGTTTCACTCCTTTGCATTACATTTTTGGTACTCCATTAGTTACCACAGATCAGGGAAAATATGTAGTATTTGTCTTTTGGGGACTGGCTTGTTTCACTAAGTATAAGGGCTTCCAGTCACATCCATTTTGTTGCAAAAGAAAGGATTGCATCCTTTTTTATGGCTAAGTAGTATACCATAGTGTAAACACACCATAATTTCCTTACCCAGTCATCAGTTGGTGGACATCGGATGGACTCTAATAGAAGCAGTAGACAACATGCAAGAGCAAGTGATAATCTAAGCAGACAGATGGACATTCTAAAAAAAAAAAAAATAGTGGAGGGAGCCAGTGTTGTAGTACACTCTGTTAAGATTCCACTGTGACGCTGACACCCATGGCAGAGCTGGAGTCCCTGCTGCTCTGCTTCTGATCTAGCTCTCTGCCAATGCATCCGGGAAGGCAACGTGGGCCCTGTCACCCATGTGGGAGACCTCGATGGAGCTCCTGGCCCCCGGCTTCTGTCTGGCCTAGCCTCGGCTGCTGTGACCATTTGGGCAGTCACTCAGTAGATAGAAGACATCTCCCCCCGCCCCTCTCTCTCTCCCTCTGTTACTCTGCCTTTCAAATGAATAAACAAATAAATCTTTTTTAAAAAGAAGGAAATAGTAGAGATCAATCAATGTAACAGAAATACAGGGATCATTTGATAGGCTCTTGGTAAACTGGATTCAGCTGAGTAAACTGTCTCTGAGCTTGAGCACTTGCCAACAGAAACTCCCCCCCTTAATTTCAGATACCACACCAGAGATCTAGGTCAGATAACACCAGCTGGAATAAATAACAATGAAAAACAAAACAAACCAGATCAGAAGTAGAGCTGCAATAACCTACAGAAGGAAGGGAACTTCTCCAGTGGCCCACGATGTAGTTTGCTCTGTAACAAAATTGACCCTGTCAGCTGTTGGTCTGGAAAGTGCAGATCAAGGTCCAGACCCTGCACAGCCCAAGGCAAAGGCCTCGCAGCTTTCAGAGAGGTCACTGAGTCCTCTGTCATCCCGCAGGCAAGTGCCCTGCAATTCAATTGCTCAGAATTCCCAAAGAAAACCATGAATGACAGACTTGGGAACTGTTTTTACAGACATGGGATACAGACAACGTAAACACCAGTAACAGGCCAGGGAGAGCACCACTGGGACAGGACCCTATCCTCACTCAGGATCTGGGAACACCTCCCTGGTGACGTCACAGCCTGTGGGAGGGGCAGGCGCTCAGCAGGAAAAGTCCTAAGGACTAGATTAGGAAGCAGCCCTCTGGCATTCAGTGGCTTGCTTGATTTCTGCTGGTGGGCACCAGGCTGTTCCAGGCTATTCCAGGCTGGACTGGTATTCTGAGTGTTGCATTATCTGCACGATATCAAAAATACAGCCCTGTGCTGTAATTTTTTACCAGGACAAGATCCCAACTTCTAGTACCCATGGCAGAGAATTCAAAATTTGATGAAATACCACGCATAACTGTTGACTACATGAGAGGAATTCTTCTACCCACAGCCACCTGTGACACCTGGGATCTGATCTGGAACTTCCAAGCCAAGCCTGATGACCTGCTGATTTCTACCTATCCTAAAGCAGGTAGGTGGAGGAGCTGGCAGGGACGGGGAAAAAGAGTTAGGAAGGTAAGTGAAGGATTCAGTAAGAGAAGAAGGTTTGCTCTCAAGGAGCCCTTTTGCACACACACACACATACAGAGACAGGGAGGGACAGAGAGAAAGCGAACCTCAGTCTTTTCTGAGATTGTGTTCAACCCTCCACAGGAGGTTACATCTCTCTCAATATCCCAACAGAAGAATGTGCAGGCCAACAGAGGCCTTGTCCAGTGGTTCATGTTGGTCCTGATGTAACAGTCTTACTCGTCAGGAGTCTATTCAGGATCAGATTTTTCTAAATGTCAATCTGAAAATCAGCAAAGTTTTTGCCACTAGTTTTGCGAGTTTTGCCACTAGTTTTTGCGAGTTTTGCCACGAGGAAAGAACGCAGCTTAAATTCATCCACAAGTCTGCTTGATTATCATTTCAGCTCAGTGTTGTGTTTTCCATTTACTTCCTCATTTGAGAGGCAGAGAGAAAAACAGAGCTGCCTAGAGAGCTCGAATCACCACTGCTTCATTCCCCGAATCTCTGCAGTAGCCGTGGGCAGGGGCTGGAGCCAGGGCCAGGACCTCAATTCACCTCTCCCATGCGGGAGGCAAGAACTCAATCACGCAGCCAGCACCACCACTGCCTCCCAGGGGCTGCACGGGCAGGAGTCAGGGGCCAGGGCCAGCAAGTGAATCAGGTGCTCACACCAATGAGGGACATGGAGCAGCCTGACCACTGGGCCAAATACCCACTCTCAGTACTTTGTGTAATCTTTCATTCTACCTGCCAAGTGCAAGCCTTAAGATTTGATTCATTTACTTTTCGTGGAATAAATAGGGTTTAAACAATTCAAAAAGCATGAAGAATAAAAATGTTTTTCATCCAATGTAATATTTAATCATCATTAAAATCTTATATATGAATGAAGATTTTTTTTATTAGAGGTAAGAGATAAGTATAAATGACAAAAATAATCCTGGAGAGCAGCAGAAGGCAAGGTGGGGGCGAGTGTCACTATGTCACTATGTTCCTAAATCTGTATATATGAAACTTGTATAACTTAAATAAAATTTTTGTAAAATGCAGAAATTATTACATAAAATGCAGAATCCAAAAAATAAAAGAAATAACATTCAGAATCTTTGTGGCAAAGGAGGGAGTCTAGGGAATGTACATTTTTGCCTTTCTACTGCTGAGATAAGGAGAAAACAGAGAAAAGAGTGAAAATGGATACTAAAGGTTAGTGGCATATAGTAAGCCCAGGCACTAATCATTCATTCACTCAGCCAACATCTGCTGGCTCTGAAGCAAAAACTTCATACACTGTGCTTAGGGAAAAGAATTTGAAACCACAGTCTTTACTCCACAGGAGATCATAATTGTTTACCACACAGCTAGATCAACAGGCCAACAACCTAAATTAAAGGTCGTGATAGAAAAAAATAATTGCATATCATCAATCTAATGCCCACTCATGAATGGAGTATTTGTATAAAAATTCATGTCATGGTAACTTATGCTATAAATAAGAAAGGATGTTTTCTGAAGTCCATTTCTATAAACAAGGCTTTCAAATTCACGTAGATGTTCTAAGAAAGTATTTGGTCACAATTTTAAGAATATAGTACTCTAACTGTCTCTGCATCTGCATCTTCTATGTGGAATTAGGAACAACATGGACTCAGGAGATAGTGGACCTAATACAAAATGAAGGTGACGTTGAGATGAGTAAACGAGCACCCAGTTATATACGGTTTCCTTTCATCGAGTACGTAATGCCTTCCATAGGATCTGGTGAGTATCCAATAGCCACACTTGACTATGTTTCTGGACATACCCTTAGGGGTTTTACAATTGAATGCACCTCGCAAAATTATAGGCACTCATTGATGGATTTTGTTGCTTTGTCTTTTTTTTAATGAGTATTTAATTGAAGAACAGTTACAGGGAGACAGAGAAACAGAGACAGGAAGATCGTCCATCTGCTGTTCACTCCTTAAATGATCCAATAACCAGGATTCGGCCAGGCCAAAGCCAGGAGCCTGGAACTCCATCTAAGAATCTCCCACATGGGTGGCAGGAGCCCAAGCACTCAGGCCATCTTCCCCTGCTTTCCCAGACACATAATCAGTGAGTTCAATCAGAAGCAATGCAACTAGACTAGAACCAGTGCTGAAATGGGATGCTGACATGGCACACCATGGCTTGACCCACTGTGCCACCAATGCCAGGCCCCAGCCTTCAGTCTGGCCATTGCTATACTACAGAATTTCCTAAATGATTTCCTCTTTATGCAGAAGTAACTTAAATTTTGATTTTGTAGTTATAAATTAGTCGCAGTTCACAAAGATGAACACTTATAAGATAATAACAGTGAGAGGGTCTGAAATTTTAGGTTCTTATTTATCGGGTTGGTTGTATTTGCTAGGAATTGTTCTAGGCAAGAAGTCTACTAATAGGTGACAGGACTTCCCTCGAATCAAAAACAATAGCTCAGTGCTCTGTGGCTGCCTGGCATTGCTCCCCAGGTATTTTGCTCCCTGTTTGAAGCAAAGAGAAAAATAGTAGGAAATTATTATAAACTACTTTTTCAGGTTTGGAACAAGCTAATGCAATGCCCTCACCACGGAACCTGAAAACACATCTTCCCATCGAGTTGCTGCCACCATCCTTCCTAGAGAACAACTGTAAGGTAAAGAGCAAAAGGGACTCACGGCTGTACTCTTTAGAACAATCTTAGTCCTCCACATCCTTCCTCTTAAAACATTTTGCCTGTTCAAAAAAAAAATCCACCTCCTTAATGGGCAAAGGACTTCAACAGGCGTTTTTCAAGACAGGAAATCCAAATGGCCAACAGACCTTGAGAAAATGCTCAGGATCACTAGCCATCAGGGAAATGCAAATCAAAACCACAGTGAGGCTTCACCTCACTCCAGGTAGAATGCCTTTCATACAGAAATCAACAAACAACAGATGCTGGCAAGGATGTGGGGAAAAAGGTACCCTAATCCACTGCTGGTGGGAATGTAAATTGGGGCAGCCATTGTGGAACACAATATGGAGATAACTCAGAAAGCTAAATATAGACCTACCATATGATCCAGCCATCCTACTCCTGGGAATTTACTCAAACCAAAAGAAATCAGGATATGAAAGAGTTATCTATACCCCCATGTTCACTGGAGCACAATTCACAATAGGTAGGATATGGAATCAACCCAGCTGTCCATCAACTGTTGACTGGATAAAGAAATTATGCTATATATACACTATGGAGTACTACTCAGCTATTAAAAAAATATCCTGTCTTTTGCAACCAAATGGACATAACTGGAAACCAGTTTACTTAGTGAAATAAGCCAGTCCCAAAAAGACAGATATCATTTGTTTTCCTAGATCCAAGATAACTAACAGGGTACCTGAAATTTAATATTTTTCAGTGAAATAGACATTTTGAGAGTTAATGATCATTTACAGCTCCTGTATTTTCCATTGAGGATCACCATTTTGTGGGTTTTTTTAGTCATACTATTTGTCAGACTCTTTTGCTAAGTGTAGGGTTAACTTTACAATTGTTAAATAAACTGAAAATATATATTTGTAAAAATTAAGAGTGGGAAATTTAGACGAGGAAGAAGGGATGTAGCGTGGGGGAGGAGAGGAGAAGTATCACTATGTATA